AATAAAAACTAAAGGACAAAAGTAAAGAGGAGAAAGCAATTGTCTATGTGTTTATTCAACAAAAAGAATTGCCTTTATATAGGCTTATACATAACGAATAAAAGCAAGAAAATAGGCACTACATAACGTGACAAAACTAACACCAACAGACTAGGTAAATGAAAGAAGCTAATTTGTTGAACACAACAAGTTCCCAAAAGACTAGGACAACAACTAGCAAACAAACTATTTTTCAACAATCCCTCCTTTAAACTAATGTTCAAACATTCAGTTTAATACACAATTCAAAAACAAAACAAAAAACTCTGAAGTCTCTCAAATATCCAACATACAAACACCCAACAATTCTCTTAACTTCAGAAACAAAGGAAATTTTAGAGGCTTTGTGAATATATCTGCAAGTTGATCTTACTTCTACAGTAGATGAGCTCAATTGTTCCAGCCTTTGTAAGATCTCTTAGGAAGTGAAACTTCACATTTATGTGCTTACTTCTCCCATGTAGAACAAGATTTTTTGAGAGTTTGATTGCTGAAGTGTTGTCACAAAAAATTGCAGTAGGCCCTTGTCTCTTGAAATGAAGCTCTTCAAGAATTCTATTCAACCATATGGCTTGACATGTGCATGAACTGGCAACAACGAACTCACTTCAGTAGTTGATAGAGTGACGATTGACTGTTTCTTTGATGACCATGAAACAACCCCTGAACCAAGGATAAAAACATAGCCTGAAGTACTTTTTCTATCATCTTGATCCCCTGCATAATTGCTGTCAGTAAAACTAATCAAGTCTGACTTCTCTCCCTTCTTGTAGAACAACCCAAATTCCTTAGTACCTTGCAGGGCAGCTAGCAAATGCATCTCTGTCGGATTCTCCATGTATTTGCTGATGAGACTCACTGAATACATTATATCTAGCCTTGTTGCTGTGAAATACATTAAACTTCCCACAATCTGCTTGTAAAGAGTTCCATCAACCTCCTTTCCTTTATGATCTTTATTTAGCTTCAAACCAAACTCAGTTGGTGTATTCAACGAATTGCAATTCTTCATCTGAAACCTATCTAAAATTCTCGCACATACTTCTTTTGAGAAATAAAAATTCCAGTAGCTGATTGAACAACTTCAATGCCAAGAAAATAATGCAGCATTCCAAGATCAGACATTTCAAATTTACTCATCATGGACTTTTTAAAATTTTCAAACATGGCCCTATCATTTCCAGTGTAAATTAAATCATCTACATATAAGCATACAAAAAACATATTTCCTCCATCTTCAATTTTAATAAAAAGAGTATGCCCATATGGACATCTTCTAAAACCTTCCTTCAAAAAATAAGCATCTATATGGCTGTACCAAACTTTTGGAGCTTGTTTCAGCCTATAGAAAGCCTTTTTCAACTTATATACCTTATTCTCATTACCTAGCTTCACATAACCAGGAGGTTGATCAACAAATACCTGTTCTTGTAAGTCTCCTTATAGAAATGCAGATTTCACATCCAACTGAAAAATAGGCCATGAGTTTTGAGCTGCCAATGCAATCACCAATATGATTGTATTATGCCTTGCAACCGAAGCAAACACTTTTTGTAATCAACACCAAATTTTTGCTTATAGCCCTTGGCCACCAAGCGCGCCTTGTACTTGTCAACTTCTCCATTCTCCTTCAGCTTTGTTTTGTAAACCCACTTGACACCTATAGTCTTGTGCCTTTTAGGAAGATCAGTCAGCTCCCATGTGTTGTTTTTTTCAATGGCAGTAATTTCATCATCCATTGCCTTCCTCCATTTCGATTCTTTGACGGCATCTTCAAAAATTGTAGGATCATGTTAGAGTCATGAAAGTGACTCTACTTTGGTGACAAAAAGACCCTATGTGTTATTGAATTGAAGTTATATTGAGACAATTAAGAGAAATTATGAATTTATGTTTAAAAATCATATTTTGAGTTTTTCTTACTAATTTGGCATGTTTGGATTGAAATTTGAGATTGTGTAAGTTGATATTAGGATGTGATTTATTTTCTAGGGCTGATGTTGTCTCATTTATGCCATTCAGGGGTCAAATTGTCATAATATTGGGGTTGATTTTGTCATTTTTAATATGCAGGGACCAAATGGATATTTGTCGCAATGGGTATAAACTTCCAGGTGACCATCGTGAAAAGGGGGACGTGCGCACAAACCAACCCAAAACCCTAGCCTCCCACCGGAATTTGGTCGCCGACCGACGACGTTTCATCTTCCAGGTCGGCGACCCTTCATCTTCCGCCGGCGAGCCTCCACCACAAGCCACCACCGCGAACCAAACGTTGCCGCGACGCTTCGCCTTCCACCACCGCGTCGTTTCGTCTTCCCGGCCAGTTTTGGCCATTTTTCGGCGACGTTCCAGCTCCCCAAGGGTAGATCTTCCTTCCCCATAGCCGGATCTACACTTTCCTAACTTCAGCCGCCGCGAAAACCGCCGGAATCCCCGATTTAGCCGTCGTGACTCTTCATCTTCCAGGCCAGATCCTGCTCATTTCCGGTTACTTCTCACCTCCCCAGGACCTGATCTGAACTCCCCATCACCAGAGCTTTCCATCGGTACCTTCGGATCCCATTTCCGCCACCGTTTTCCGGAGACCCGTCGGAAAATTAACGTTTTCTGACGAAGTGCGGCTGTTCGTATTCTGGGCTGTTCGTATTCTGGGCTGTCCGTTGGTCGTTTTTAGCCTTTCTTCGCATCATATCGCTGTCGGTTACCTCCTCTTCGCCATGATCAGCTCCGTTTCCACTGTTTCAGCCTCCGTCATCACCACCATGAGCGACTGAGTTCCCGGTTGTCCGTTACGGTGTAGGCGAGATCGAGATTGACTCCACTGATCTCCTCATTAGCTCTCGACTAGTTGGATGAGCCCGAATGTTGGATATTTGGTTAAGTTTCTTGTATTCAGATTATATTTGTTTTCGTTTCAGTTTGTTTGCGATACTTTAATATTATTCTGATACTCGACGTGTTGAATTGATAATGTCCATTGAGAACGTTTATTGATATATAACTTTTCGCATAATTGAATGTCGGTTTGAGATTATTGAATGTTGATTATGACTTTAAATTGCTTCGGTACTGATTGCAATCAAGTTGTAGTAGCGTTTAATGTCATCTCTACTAGGAATGCATTTATTGTGTAATTAGTTGATTGGATGATACAGGTTGATAGGTTGTACTTGTTAACGTTGTACCAACTAGTGGTGTTTAAGGGTTTAGCATTTTTCGGTTAGTCAATGATAGTCTTTAACCAATCGATCTGTAACTAAGACGACGGGGAGACAGGATAGATTATGCCTAGATTGCCGGGAGATATTTCTATTGATTTGCCTAGCCTTGTAGGATTAGGAAATTGAAGAGCGAGGAGAGGAATTGTGAGAGTTGGTCTTGAGTCAAACCGAACCCGTAGCGACAACGCTTTTAATATTGTGTTTTAGTTAGCAATTTATTTAATGCTTTTAATTTCCTGCAAGTAATTAGTTTCCTTAGTTTTAATCAATCATTTTGCCAATTTCTCTTTCGTTAACTCAAATATACATTAGGTCGTTAGTCTTGCTCTCTGTGGATTTGACCCTGCTTACCGCTAACTATGGTACTTAGGTTTAATTTTGTGATCGTGACGATCGGTCTAACAGATCACAATCTAAAAATAGAGCAAAATGAGTAGGTGGATCCTCAGATTGATCAATCCCAGTTACCTCATAATCTTGCATCCATACTGGCCTCTTTCTAACACGCTAGTAACACGAACTTGCTGTTGCATCAACATTTTCATCATATTCTACTGCTGGTGGTGAATTTTTAGTTGAAGTTGGAGCTTTATTTGGTGGAATTGCAGGTACAAAAATTGCGGGAATTTGTTCTTGTAAGGGCTGCTACCTTTCTTCTTCATTTTCACCATCAAAATTAGCTAGTATTTGTTGTTTGGTAGTGTTTTCATCCCATTTCCAGAATCTTCCTTCATCAAAAATTACGTCACGACTAATGACAATTTTCTTAGTGATAGGATTGTATAATTTGTATGCTTTTGACATCTCACTAACACCAAGAAAAATGCATTTTTCTCCCTTGTCATCAAGCTTTTTCCTCTTTTGATCTGGAATATGAGCATATGTTATGCAACCAAAGATTTTGAAGTGGTTGACACCTGGTTTGTGCCCATTCCATGCTTCTTCAGGTGTCATGTTTTGAACAGCTATAGTAGGACTTCTGTTCAAAATGTGAATGCTCTAGATGACTGATTCAGGCCAAAAACTTCTTGGGATATGACCTTTTGACAGAATAGTCTACACCATGTTTAGAATTGTATAGTTCTTCCTCTTTGAAACGTCATTTTGCTATGGCGAATATGCTGCTGTAAATTGCTTTTGAATACCATGGTTCTCACAAAAATTTTACAAATTCGTGTGAGGTGTATTCTCCACCACGATCGCTGCGAAAAATCTTAATAGGTTTGCCTGCTTCTTTTTCGACCAGCATCTTAAAGCTTTTGAAAGCTGAAAAGCTTCATATTTCTCCTGTTAAAAATAAACCCAAGTTTTTCGACTATAATCATCAATGAACGTTATAAAATAATGTTTACCACCATTCAATGTTGGATTAATGGGTCCGCATATATCAGAGTGAACTAGCTCCAACACCTTCTTCACCCTCCATGATTTTCCTTTAGGAAAATGATCTTGATGCTGTTTATCAACAGCACATTCTTCACAAATTTGAGAAGGAGTCTGAATTTGTGGAAGTCCAGTCACCATGTTCTTCTGTTGTAGCGTCTTTAGTCCACCAAAATTCCGATGTCCATAGCGAAAATGCCACAACCATCCCTCATCCATCAATTTTGTAGAGAAACAATTCTGAGTAGTGTTGTCTAGATACAGTGGGAACATTCAGTTTGTAGTCATGTTGACTTGAGCAATTAAGCCTAATTTCTCATATTGGATGCGACAAACTCCATCTTTAATAAAAATCTAGTATCCATTCTCTTGAAGCTGACCAACACTAAGCAAGTTGGTCTTTAAATCTGGAACAAAAAAGACATTAGAAATAATCTGATCAGATTTTTCTTTGGAGTGAATTCGTACACTTCCTTTGCCCATGACAAAAACTTTGGAGTTGTCATCAAAAGTTACAAAGTTGCGAAATGTTTCATCCAAGTCTGAGAACGCTGACTTATCCCCACACATATGATTGCTGCAGCCAGTATCTATATACCACAAGTTTTGGTGGGTGCCTTGATTTGCATGACATGCCATCAAGAGGGAAACAACTTCTTCTTTCTCTGCAAAATTAGATCTTTCTCTACATTGCTTATTCAGATTAGTTCGAAACTTAGACTTATAATGGCCATACCTGTGACATCGAAAACATTCAACTTTTGACTTGTTTGCAGACTTCGATTTATAGCCATTTGAGTGGTTGTTATCATGGCTTTTCCATTTCCCTCTTGAATCAGTAGCATGATCTTTTTGTCCTTCCATTTACCTCTGCCAGGACCTGAAATTTTGGTATGTGTTGCAGCTTGTAAGGCTTGTTCTTCCTTATCCTGCTGGACAATTTTTTGCTCATGGACAAGCAAGGAGCTTTGTAGCTCATCAATGGCGAGTGTGTCGATGTCATTTGATTCTTCAATCACACAAACAACATAGTTAAATTTTGCTATCAAGGATCGAAGAATCTTTTCAACTATGGTGACATCCTCGAGCTTTTCTCCATTAATCTGCCTCTTGTTCGTGATTGCCATTGTCCTTGAAATGTATTCTGAAACTGATTCACCTATCTTCATTCGGAGAGCTTCAAATTCAGCATGAAGTGCTTGAAGGTGAACTCGCTTCGCTCTTTCTGTCCCTAGAAATTTCTTCTTCATGGAGTCCAAAATCTGCTTGGAGGTGTCCTTGCAAAGAATGGTTTCCAAAATTGAACAATCAATCACTTGGAAGAGATAGTTCTTTGCCTTGAGATCCTTCAACTTTTTCCCTTCCAAATCAGTTCTCTGTTGGTCTGTTAGTATGGTGCCTGCTACTGGTTATGCTACTCCAACTTCAACAATATGCCAATACTCCTTTGATATCAAAAAATTCTCCATTAGCATGCTCCAATGGTCATAGTGGCCATCGAAACATGGAATGGCTGGCTGCACAAAAGTTTAAGAGGCCATCGATCTCTTCTACTACTGTTGCAAAAACAAGAAACTAGGTGAAATAGAAATGAAACTGCTGCTTGTACGACTCTATCTCACAGACTCTCTTTTTTGTTTTGTTTGGCACTCTCAACTTTACTTTTCTCACTCTCTCTCTCTCCCAGGCTCTGATACCAATGTTACAAATAAAGAAGCGAAAAAGTAGTGTTTCTGCTGAAACAAGTAAAAGAGGACAGACTTTTAATAAAAACTAAAGGACAAAAGTAAATAAGAGAAAGTAATTGTCTATGTGTTTATTCAACAAAAAGAACTGCCTTTATATAGGGTTATACATAACAAATAAAAGCAAGAAAATAGGCACTACACAACGTGCCAAAACTAACACCTACAGACTAGGTAAATGAAAAAAGCTAACTTGCTGAACAGAACAAGTTCCCAAAAGACTAGGACAACAACTAGCAAACAAACTCTTTTTCAACAGAGTTGGGATTGCAACTTTATATACATAGTATTAATTATTGACAGTCGAAAAATCAAATTCTAATCTTGCTAACTTAGTTTTGGATTTAATCGGTTGATGGGAAGAAATGGTCACTAATGATGGCTTAGTCTGTTGCATTAACTTGATGGGCTCTATTATGCAAAGTCTCTAGCAATTTGTGATATAATTGAACTGGTAAACAAGTAAATCATAATAGCCACCTTTAGGTGATTGGGTGGAGTTATAGGGATTATTGAGTGTATTACTCAAGAAGTATTGAGTTTGATTTCCTTTGGTTGTTAATAGGGGTGACCACTGGAGGGTTTATTTGGTCGTTAACTTCAGGATCCTGAATGATTAGTTGAAGTGTGCGCAGACTGGTCCAAACACCACAATCACAAAAAATAATAATAAATAAATAAATTATAAGAGAGGTATGGCTTTATTGGCCAGGACAATATGAATATGGGCTAGGGGGATGGACTTGACTTTATAAATGTACCAGGCCCAACTCCTACAAAAATGAAAAGGTGACAATAAATATGACTTCATTTTATTTTCTTAATTATTTTTTGTGTAAATTTAAAAAAAAAAACATAATAATTTAGGATCTAATTTATAAAAGAGTGATACTAGGTTAACAAAGCTGAAATCCCAATTTCCCTAATTCCAACTTATGACTGTTAATGTATAGGANTTACAACTTTATATACATAGTATTAATTATTGACTGTCGAAAAATCAAATTCTAATCTTGCTAACTTAGTTTTGGATTTTATCGGTTAATGGGAAGAAATGGTCACTAATGATGGCTTAGTCTGTTGCATTAACTTGATGGGCTCTATTATGCAAAGTCTCTAGCAATTTGTGATATAATTGAACTGGTAAACAAGTAAATCATAATAGCCACCTTTAGGTGATTGGGTGGAGTTATAGGGATTATTGAGTGTATTACTCAAGAAGTATTGAGTTTGATTTCCTTTGGTTGTTAATAGGGGTGACCACTGGAGGGTTTATTTGGTCGTTAACTTCAGGATCCTGAATGATTAGTTGAAGTGTGCGCAGACTGGTCCAAACACCACAATCACAAAAAATAATAATAAATAAATAAATTATAAGAGAGGTATGGCTTTATTGGTCAGGACAATATGAATATGGGCTAGGGGGATGGACTTGACTTTATAAATGTACAAGGCCCAACTCCTACAAAAATGAAAAGGTGACAATAAATATGACTTCATTTTATTTTCTTAATTATTTTTTGTGTAAATTTAAAAAAAAAAACATAATAATTTAGGATCTAATTTATAAAAGAGTGATACTAGGTTAACAAAGCTGAAATCCCAATTTCCCTAATTCCAACTTATGACTGTTAATGTATAGGAAGAACAATAATTCTTTACAAAAGTTGAAATTTTTTATATTTTGAAAAAAATATATATATTTTTTTTCATTTTGGTACTTCACATTAATATTAAGTTTTTTATTTAAAAAAAAAAAAACTACACTAGTTTTTATTTTATCTAATAATGTTGTAAAGTAGAAAACTATCAATTATCCAAAAGAATATCAAGCAAAGTAGAAATTATCAATTATTTGGAGGAATTTGCAATGTGACACATTAGTGGTCAATTGTTAGCCGGCATATCATGTTTGTGAGAGAAAGTTTGTAGGCGTAGTATTACTCTTTCAACTTTATACATAATATTACTTGTTTTCGTTAGGAGGATAATATGATAAATATTTATGAACTCATAATATTGCAAGTTTTAACGGTTTACTAATGATTAGAGAATTTTTTTTTTTTTTTTTAACAAATCTTAGGAGGATTTTGTTATTACATGAAACTTTAGGGGATCACTTAATTTATATCCCATATTTAAAGTAAAAGGATATGGAAATAGCAAAGGTAATACATCAACAAGACAACAGCCACACCTATTCAGATCCATAGTTGGAACATATCACTGCCACTAAAAAGTCTTACATATTTCAAGCAGAACTGGAAGCGTTTTAGATCCGGTTAACTTCACTACCGAACTGCCAATCATCAAGAAAGAGACGACAAAGATACATTGATTTAGTTTGCGGTGGTTTGGGATGAGAAAAAAGCAAGGGCACCGACAAACGGTGCATTGATATAAGTAGCAGGTTCGGATTGCTGATAATTATTGCGATCATCAGAGAAACTGTCTTTATTATCAGGACCACCTAATATGGCTCCAACGAGGGGATTGGGATTGGATGAGGAAGAGTAGAGGTACTGAAACCCATTGTTGCAATCAATGTGACCAGGATGTGCATGAATTGATGGAAGCGATGAGCCCCTGTGATGAACATGCTGTGGATACTTCTTTCCAAACCCCACCATGTAAGACATTTTTGCTGGATTATCTCCTAAAATGTAATCCACCTGTTTCTTCGCCAGTGTTATGAGATTTCCTGCTGTTACAGTTGAAGTCCCGCATTTGACAGCTCCTCCCTTTGAGTTAAGATACTTGGCGTATGTCAAGAGGAGCAAAGATGTGGAAGTTACATACTGCAAATTGCTCTCACTTGCTTTATACAAAAGTCCCCCTGTAAAGATAATTAAACATTATAATAATGAAGTGGTTACTTATCAATTGAAAAACAGAGGAAACAACAGGAATTGTATGGCTGACCTGGTGTATATTGAGCTTGGAAACTAGATGATCCTGGTACTAAAGAGCATATGTAGTTGTCTGAGTGAGCTTTGTATAATTGAAATTCTTGTGTGTTTTCTTCTAAGAACGCCTGTGAAATGACACAACTTATATAAGCTTTTGTTCAATTTTGAAATATTGCAGAAGGGTGAGGAGTTGAGTTTTAGAATAAACCTTGGAAAGAAGGACCTTGGTTCCTGCTCGCTTGTCGTCCCAACTAAAGGAGTAGTCATCGTCGTTTGCTCCCAAAGTTTGGCCATTGGATTCGATGTAAGACAAGTATAAACTGTTCTGTGAAGCTCTATGTAGCCATGATGCACCCCAGAGAAGCTCGTCCTAGTTAACAGAGTTGGGGTAAGTGATGGTGATGATGATGTTTAACTTAATAAATTAAGCAAGAACCATTTGATGTGTCTTACTTGGTATCCAGAGTAAGAGCAGTAAAATGGGCAAACCGCTGAGTGGAGGGAGTCACTATAAGAACCCCTGTACTTGTCTGCAAAATCGAATACCTACACGAAAACAATCTTCATTCTTGTAAACAGATATTATATTACTAGTAAAAATTATGCAGTTTGTATGCATGTTATTCTAACCTTCATAGCAGTTTTAAGCAATTTGGAGGAGTAAGAAGGGTCAGAATCTTTAAACACAATAGAAGCTGCAGCTAATGCTGCGGCTGTCTCTGCTGCTACATCAGACCCTGGGTTCTGAGTGGAGACTTTGTACACATTTCGTGGCGTGTCCATGTCTTCAGGCCTCTCCCAACAACGGTGATCCATATTTGGATCTCCTACCTGTAGCATGAGCATGAAACAAAACTATAACACACGCAGATAAAAGGCTTTCTTTATTTTCTTAACGTTTTCTACAATCTGCATGTTTTATGGTGTAATTCTACATGTGTTATTCTACAATGACACACTTTAAATGAGCTGAATGAGACACCAATCAAATTTCATGCAAAGATTTGTTATTCTTCGTGCGAGTTAGTATGCATCTCTGAATATGTTAAAGTTTTATAGTGGTTAATTAGTCTACTAATTAACAATAATAAAGCATTTTGTTTTGCCTACTTGGACATATAAGGTGCCAGGAGTTGCAGTAGCTGCCTTTAAAAGATAATCCGTGCTCCAACGGATGGCAGCTTTGGCATTATTAACCTGGTTCTTCATTGAGCTACCAAATTCAATCACACTCCACGACAGTAACGTAGTTGTATAAGCCATAGGCAGGCCAAACTTTACGTTATCACCTGCATCGTAATACCCACCCACTAGGTCCACCTGAAATTCAAAACCAAGTAACGCACAAATGTAACGTTTATTAACATTATTAATTGCCTAATTTTAAGCATTATAACTCATATAATTAACAACGCTATACATGGTAAGAGGAACCGTCAGACAGCCCGGAATCTCCCCTCCATGTGAGCCGCTGGTTAGACGGCAACTTCCCAGACCGCTGTCCCTCAAAAAACAGGATGGACTTTTCAAGAGCATCAGAGTAATCTTGAGAGGTAAATGCAGAGCAAAATAAGCTAAGAGAAAGAAGACTTAAGCTAAGAATCATCATTGTTAGTGAAAATGTAGTACTAGAAGAAGGAGCCATTTTCTTCCCTCTTAGCAGCTTCCCCAAAATCAGAGATTAGAATTGGATACTAACATGCAGTACTACAAAACTACTACTAAGTAGCAGGGACGCTAGGTAATGAGGTAAGTGAGGCTGATGGATTTGAGTATGCCGAGGTGGTGAAGCAATTTATAGAAAAAACCAAGCAGGAATTAAGTTTGGATAGTCGTTGGTCGTTGAGGCTTGAGAGCGAGAGTCATGCTACTCACGGGATCAGCTGCATAAATTTGGACGTTTGTAGTGAGAAAAATACTCCAACTTTATCCGGAGTTTAAAATCAGGGGCATTAAAGTCGTGCTAAAAAGATATTAATGACAAGGCTACAGAGTATAATTCTCTGCAGTCACTGGTATTTTTCTCGAATTAAAAGTTTTACATATAAAATAAGACGCAGACATTCAATGTTGATTATCTTTAAAGTCTTAAAATTGCATAAATTAAGTGAGAAAATAAGGGGTTAAGTAGGCGTGATTTGAACTTTGGATGCCGTGATTACTGGTGTTGAATTGCGTAGAAACTTAAATTTGTCTGTAGCATACTAAGTCACGGAATACAAAAAGACAGTTGAATCACATGAGTCTCTAAAGGTTATATCAGAGAGAATTTTAGATTTTGCAGTTAGCAAGTTGATGAACAGTTTTGTTAGTTAAAATTTGGAACTTTGCATGGTCCAACTCCAACCATTGTTCCTTTTATCTTGTGAACTAACATGAATGAGCATTTCTTGAAAGAAAGCGTCATCCTCTTTGAATTAATGCGGCTTGATTTTTGGAACTTCTCTTGGAATTTCCAGAGACCACTGTAGAAATATAGGGGGAACCCAGGCGCAGCTACTATGACCATTGGCCACGTTCTTACTGATTTTGACAAGAAATAAAGAAAGCATCATCCTTTTTGCATTAACGGCTTGATTTTTGGAACTTCTCTTGGACTTTCCAGAGACCACTGTATAAATATTAGAAATTTAGAGGGAACTCAGGCACAGCAACTATGACTATTGGCCACCTTCTCACTGATTTTGACAAGCAATAGAGAATAATATCATTGACTACCCCTTAAAATCGGCTGATTGATCTCATATTGTTTATCAAAACTGATCCGTGATGAAATGACCTAGATGAGTTTTACTGGTCTTCTTTGATTACTTCTGTGAATGAATGATTACAGATACTTTTGTTTTACTTCTCTATAATTATCTGCAATATTGATTGGAGGGCATTAATAAGATAGGTTATATTTTGGTTATAATATACATTCAAAGCAACAAGCCCAATCGGGGCAGCGGCCAAAATTGTTATAAAATTAATTCTTACTTATTTCTATGCATGTTCCTATCATTGCATGTCCACTCCATTATCAAAATATTCTTTGCTACAGAAGAGCCAAAACTGGCGTGCTGATTTTCCACATATCAACAATAGAAGGGGCTGATTGTTTGCTAATCTTGTGTATATCTCAATATCAAATTGCTTACTGAAGTAACACAGAATATAGCTGTATATATCTCAATATCAAATTTCTTACTGAAGTAACACTAAGCTGTTAATCTGTCTTTTCTGGTAAAAATCATGCAACAAGGTTTAGATAAATGTAATGTAGTAAGAAATTGCTGCCGCCATTTCAAGAAGAGAGGTTCCTCAACCAAGGCTGTTAAAATATGCTTATGCCATCCAGAAGCATTGACAAACGGTGATGGCTTAGTGACTCTTCTTCTTCTTCTTCGATCTATAATCATTAATCCATAGATTCCCTTTCAAAAACCATAGGTTCATTTTGAATTTCTGGAGTTCCTACTTTTAACAAGCTTCAAGTAGTAACCCATAAGTGCCGCACTATTTATTTGCCACAGAAAATGTGCAGATAGTTTTGGAGTTATGATATTCAACGCTCAATGTTAATTCAAGACCATGAATATAATTAACAAAAATTATGTAAATGACTGTTTCAAACAACACTATATCTTCTTCAAGCTGATTGAACTTTAAAGATAAATACCTATCTTGTATACTGTATAAATGGCCAAGGCAGATAGACCTTGGAGGTGCTTATGACATGAAATAATTTATGTATTTCCAGTGATAAATTAACCTATAGGAAGTAAAAATCCTCAAGCTTGTAATTTATGACAAACAGGGGAGCTGGGGTTTGCCACTGAACCTGCAGAAGATGTAAAAGTTAGAAACCAAGAAATGAAAGAAATTTAACAGTCCATTGATTACATTATAGAAGTCTCAGAGACTTACAAATTTCTGCAAAACAGGGCTGGGTGAATACTGGATCCTCTTCAATTGGGGGTGGAGCTTGGCCATACACCATTTCACAACTCATATCTTCAAAATCTGCAGATAAATACGATCAGAATTCTATATATATATATACATCGTTTTATAGATTATTATCTGCGCAGAATCAAGTAATTTCTTGTGTGCAAAACTTCGTAACTCATTTATTACTACAGCAGTTACAATTAATCATAATATGGGCAGCATAACGAAACCAAGAGAATGAGGAGGCATACTGGGAATCATGGTCAATGGAAGACCAAATTCATTGGTGAAGAAATCTTGAGTAGGAATCTTGCACATATTTACGCACATTCCAACACACCCACTATTCTCCAGGTACCTTCATGGGAAATCATTTTTAGTTATATATTGTATTCCTAAATCCGTAATTCAATTGGTTGCTGCAACTAGAGAAAACTTGAAAATGAAACAATCTATATAAATGCTTCAATTTCATAATCAAAGAATAGAGTTTGTACCTACACTTCTTTATATGAACTCCACTTTTTTGCTTCTCTCCGTTTACCTCCACTTCCACAACCTATTGAATGCTCATCCATTAAATATAATGTACAAACCATTTTATTTTCTTTCTTCCAAATAAGTTAAATGAAGCAAAAAATAAACAATACATATAAGAAAGTGGGTACAACAAGTTTGTGGCCTTACCTCAGAAGGTCCAACCAACCAGTGGAAGAAAGGCACTGTCAATGCAGCATTGAATTCTGCAGCCCATTTTGTTGGTGGAAATAATTTTCTGAACTGCAGAAACAACTAGTTACCAATTGTAATAAAAATGCAGCAAATTCAACTGGTTCCAAATTATACATTATATAATTCAATGATGAAACTTTCAAGTAATTAAAGCCCTTCGTAATATTTGCTAAAATCCTACACCGGCTGAAGCATATTTATTATAGAGAAACCATCGAAAAACAGAATGAAATTAAGTATTAAGAAACGAGAATTCTAATTATCCACCTGAGCTGGCGCACCAGGAGGGAGCATGGACAAGAGGACTTCCCTAACCACTTCTTGTTGCTGCATTCTTGACCTTCCTTGCATTACTCTTTTTGAAACGTCCACAAAACTCTCGTAGTCATAATCAAACCATCCCTTTTTTTTAAATTCCGTCCCAGATTTCAATGGAGCTGCAAACTTCTCCATCTTGCGCGCAAATAATGTCATAAATGCCTTCTCAAAGAACCCATCATTGTACTTTGTTTTCTGTCCCATGGGAGCTGGCTCCCCGGATGGCTCAGCAATGCCACAACGGATAAAGCCTCCAGTTCTTTGTCTTTTTACTAACAGATGTTGAGGAGAAGAAAACTGAACTACTTGGAGACTTAAAACCACCATGAATGTGCTATATTATCTATGTTTAGTCCAATGGTAACAAACCAGGTAAGTGGCAGTTTTGAGTTCCGCACCAGAAAACGAATAAAGAAAGGTAAAGAGCAGCTGTTTGGTTGAGTTTTGCTTTGGTTGGGCAAGGCAAAATTATGGCCATACATACATTTCTGTCAAGAGATTATTTCCCTGGTGATTTATTAATTCTTGTTACTTATTGAATTACTAAAGTAACCCCCCCTTTACTTCAACTCATTGCAGGCTCTTATGTCATGTGAATTGAACATTTTGCTGTTTTCATCAGGGTAATAGAGGAATTCCAAGCTTGAAGTTGACCATCAAATCCATATGTATGTATAAAAGATTATTTGTTGAAGAACCTGAGGTTATAATATATGCCACGACTGATGTATACTGAAGGAGCTGGCCTTAGTGGCTCTAAGGGCTCATATAATCTACTAAGTAATATTCAATCCCAACCAGGTGATTGTGTAGAATATGATCCCTCCTGTCAATTGTGTAGAACATGCCTCATTGCCTGAAGTGTGATTAACATTTTTCAAAGATGAATGGGTTCATTCAGCATAATGAAACTTGTTAAACCTAAAAAAGGAGGGCTGATGTAGAGCCTAGTCAGCATAAATGGTCAAGGTCTGGGCAGATCTTATAGCTGTTCAGGTGCGGTCACGTCATATACTGGCGTGAGTAGCATGTTCCTGCCAGTGCAGTGGGTGCGCGCTAAACTGTTGGGAGGTTGAAGGCCGTCCATGTGTCCAATCCCTACATGAAATGAGGAAATCACGGGAGTAGGTGAATAATGGGACGCAAAGAAAGATTTGTACAATACTTGACCCCTTTTTACGGATTCAATAATCATTAACTCAAGGTATCCCACTATAAATAGAGAGCTTCTTTCCCGTTTGGGGGATTCGCTCATTTTTACTCTTGATTAGCTACCTTCTCTCTGTACTAGCTTATTCTCTCTCTCTCTCTCATTTGTATTCTCAACACTCTAAAGTCAGCTCGCTAAGTCGCGACCTGATCCTTCAAATATAAATACAATATCAGTGGACGTAGGATTCGTTTGTTTAAGCATCCGAACCACTTTAAACATTGTCTTTCCACCATTTACATTCTCAATCTCTTATTCACGTGTATCTTTTGAGTCAACTCAGTATTTCACACATATGTTTAGTTGGTGTCAAAATCTCGCATAAACAAAACTATATCTCGTACGCTTCAATTTCACCTTTATATGCCCCTTAATCAAAGAATTTGTATCTTGTGGTGGACAAACAGAGATCAAACCTTGGTTCCATAAACCTCTACATCAAGCCCGTGAACGAACTAGCCGCAATAATATAAACCCAACACCAAAAGGGAAAGTCTACTGTATCTGGGTCATAAGCCCAGTACATCCTAATTTTTGCAAAACCCAACACCAAAAACCAAAGGCCACCCAATTTGGTCCACAACCCTAGTACATCCGAACTTATACAAAATTGATTCTATAACAGTCCTATTGTTCTTCGTCTTATTTAACTTGAGTTTTCATTATAAAATCGCAGTATAAATATAAACTTTTTGGTTACGATACCGAAAACATTACATAACTGCTAACCACCAACGGTAAAAGGCACGTTACAGAAGTGGCACTCACAGGTAGTGCAAGCACAGGAATGCGCAGAAGTGCAGAACGTGAAATGAATCCTACACGCAGAAAGTTGACCCTTTACCTAATTACCTCGTTTCTTGTTGAATACATTAAATTACTATTATCCTTTTATGGCAAGCCATCCAGACACCTCGTCTTCCTTCTTCTTCCACATTATTATATTTCAGGAAGCCCACCAATTACTATTAAATTTTTGCATGCACCTCAATCATCGGGAAGGCAACGAGAAACTACAACCAATAAGATAGGTACATATGTATCAAAACCACCAGGATTTCTCTGTTTTCATTATTATACTTGTATACTTGTGTTGGTGGTAGTTAACAAACAGAACAAATTAATTTGTAGCAGAGAGAAATGGTCAATCCTGAGCCAATATTGCAGTTTAGAGATCTTGATTTCTTCATTGATGGGTTTCTTTAAAAAGTATGAACTATTTCAAGATTAGAGGGTTGACTTCTCTCCGTAGTTAATAACTATGTCAGAAACCAGTGTGAAAAAGAGTTGACTTTGCAGTTTTTCTAAGTTCTAGCTTGCTCAAATGTATGGGGAGTTATAAATATAAGAATTCTTTATTTCACTAATATAATAATATTTGAAATTATGCTTTTCATATTGTTAACATAATTTTTTTTTCTTCAGCTTTCACTATAAATTATAATTGTAAAGCTCACGAATGTTGATCGGAAAGCTAATGCTTTCATCACCATCGAGTAACTTTCCTGCAATAATGATATTTGCAGCTTCTGTGGGATGATATGCATCCCAAAACACATACTTTGATCGGTCATCACACAAAACAGAAGTGTCGTTTTGATCATTCCGTTTAAAGCAAACAAATGGAGGAAAGTATCCACCGCAACATGGTTGATCAGCATTCTCAAATCCTGGCAACATCCAAAGAATATATTAGCTCATATAAAACTACTGTATAGTTATTCAATCAAATATAAAGATTCAGGGTTCCAATCTCACCATATTGTCTATAATTAATTATGATACTGCTGAAAACATCATAAGAGTTTGCATATACAAAGATAGCTTCAGGTCCCATCTCTTGATTTAACCGAGTGAGCTCCTCTTTTAGTTTATTATTGTATCCTTGGACTAATTCATTCACTTTAGTCCAGCATTGTTCACTTGGAAGTAGCTTGAGTGCACGAACAAATGGAATGCAACCCAGAGGTCCAACCCCCACAACAACAAATTTTCTAGCACCTAATTCGTGGAGTCTCTGTACAAATTAAACACCATATCTATTAGTTGAAAGTGATCATATTAATAGCTGAATCTAGCAAGGTTGTTCAGTTAATTGATAGCGTACCTGAAGATGAATTGTCAAGTTTGAAACCATGAAATCCTGTAACGTCGTTTTAGAAGTCTTTTCACCGAAAAAAAATGTTATTGATGGTTGGATGTAGTTGAGTATATCGTTGGACCCAATTGTAAGAGAAAATATCGCCTTCTTAAGGAACTCCTTGGTACGATTTTCGCCCATAACATTCACCATATAATTTCTGCTTTGCTCGAAATAATTTACTTGTTCTCGTAATGGAACTCTTCCTATCTGTAATTGTTTGTTTCTATTAGAGAATAAAAATTACTATCTATAATTGCTTCTGGTAAATTAAATCATGTTACACATAAACTATTTCGTAAAATTGATGTTCTTACGAATAAAAATCCAGTTTTATCCAAAATTCCTGAAGCTCCAGAAGCATAATTTATTCCCCTGAGAATGGCATCAGCAGCCCGAGTGTTTGGGGCTAGATAAGGTGGTGGAAACGATTTGGCTCCAAGAGATTGACCTGATATATTACAAAATACTTTTCAAATTCTTCAGGGAAATTAAATGTTATATTACTTGATAGATGGAATATTGAAGATAAGAAAGTCAATATTGCGTAGAAAATAAGACTAAACGATGTGAGAAATATTCTTTGTGTGTAAAAGTAGCTGACAATTATTAAGTCGGTGCTGCCACAATTACTATTCCCAGTGGGACGGTTACTGATCATGAAAATGCTTATCCACAGGTTGAAAAAATAGAGAAGGAAAAAATTAAAATTAAAAAACTCGACGATTATCTGGTATTTTAGATGTCATTTTCAAATGGTATACATTTGCATGCATTATGTAAAGTCAGTGTAGCATTTGATCTATTTTATGTGCTTGATCTCTTCTTTCCTTACCAGATAGCTGACTAAAGCATTAATGGTTTCAGAATTTCTTCAGAAATTGTCTCACTGTTATCAATATAACCGGATAACCCCCTAATTCTACTCCCCTTACTTTGCCTAAAATTTCTACAGCATTTAAGGCGTGATAGAAGAAATTGAAAACATTAGATCATTACATGTGATCTCTCACGTAGTTACAATTAATTCTCACATAATATGTAAGGTCATTAATTTAGCCCATAAAGTAGTTATATGAAGTAATCAGCCATATTAAAACACTGTTGACAATGTTATTTTGTATGGAGGGCTTACCTATAATGTCTGATATTGTTCGTCCATTGGTGAATCTTCCAGTGGGTCGACCTCCAGACGGCTTGAAATCGATGCCATAAGGAGGTGAATCAGCCTTTGAGAGAGTGAAGAGATAGTCATTGTTTCCCGCATCAACCAACGAGTCGCCAAACACAAATGAAGTAAAAGAAACACATGGTGACACATGAAAGGATGAAATCAAAAGAACTACTGAAAACAAACACTTCAAAATCTTCGAGGTCTCCATTTCATGAAAGCAAATTAGTTGTCGGTTGAATTAAAGTAGCAATGTAGTATTTATTGACTGACTGAGATATAAAGAAGCAGGACCGTATATTTGAACAAGTCTCTTTTGAATAGGTCTATCTTACAAGTCATCATCTTCGTCATGAAATAAAAAGCATTTGGAACTTTTCAAATGGTTCATAACATGAGCAACATGATTCTCTATTGGGTTGGTAAAATATTAGGTGTGTAATTGATTTACGTATAAACAACAACAAATTTCGCTTTCTGGCAAGGTTACAATATGTAATCTAATTTATATGTGTAATCAATACTACTCTTTTTAAATTTGTGTATTCCAGTTAGGGTGGTAGTTAAAATTACACTCACACAAAGGAATTCTCATGCGTTATCATATCATCCAGAGAAATTTGGCCTGACAGCAAAAGCATATTATAAACGGAGGTTACTGATTGAGCATGAAAAATGGAATGTATAGTTTCAATTTTGATGTATATATCTTTCAGCTTTAGTGTTGGACGTTAAGGAAGAGAAAATAAAAACGATTTGCATATTCATAATATGTGAACGTGAGTGATAAGACAACTAATACTGGGGACAACGGCAATGAATGTGTTATTAGCAACCTAACACAAATAAATTAAGAGTTTACTACCCTTAGGTGGTCGAGTTGTTGAATAAAGACTCGTAGAATATATTTACGATTTTCTTCCATCTTTAATAGGGATGGCCATGAGGTGTGCGCAAGAAAATTGACAGTTTTTGTTCATCAAACATTCATGGAGTATATATCCCCTCATACAGCTTTACACAATAGCTTTATAATTAACTCTCCGTTTTTATGGGGTTTTTGATTTACTCTTCTCTTTGAACTTTATTTTTTATAGTATAAAGCTTACTTCTAGGTATGGCAACTTGTAAACTCATTATACTACAGCAGTTACAATTAATCATAATATGGGCAGCATAACGAAACCAAGAGAATGAGGAGGATACTGGGAATCATGGTCAATGGAAGACCAAATTCATTGGTGAAGAAATCTTGAGTAGGAATGCACATATTTACGCACATTCCAACACACCCACTATTCTCAGGTACCTTCATGGGAAATCATTTAGTTATATATTGTATTCCTAAATCCGTATTCAATTGGTTGCTGCAACTGGAGAAAACTGAAAATGAAACAATCTATAAAGCTTCAATTTCATAATCAAAGAATAGAGTTTGTACCTACACTTTTTATATGAACTCCACTTTTTTGCTTCTCTCCGTTTACCTCCACTTCCACAACCTATTGAATGCTCATCCATTAAATATAATGTACAAACCATTTTATTTTCTTTCTTCCAAATAAGTTAAATGAAGCAAAAAATAAACAATACATATAAGAAAGTGGGTACAACAAGTTTGTGGCCTACCTCAGAAGGTCAACTAACCAGTGGAAGAAAGGCACTGTCAATGCAGCATTGAATTCTGCAGCATTTTGTTGGTGGAAATAATTTTCTGAACTGCAGAAACAACTAGTTACCAATTGTAATAAAAATGCAGCAAATTCAACTGTTCCAAATTATAATTATATAATTCAATGATGAAACTTTCAAGTAATTAAAGCCTTCGTAATATTTGCTAAAATCCTACACCGGCTGAAGATATTTAGTATAGAGAAACCATCGAAAAACAGAGTGAAATTAAGTATTAAGAAACGAGAATTCTAATTATCCACCTGAGCTGGCGCACCAGGAGGGAGCATGGACAAGAGGACTTCCCTAACCACTTCTTGTTGTGCACTCTTGACCTTCCTTGCATTACTCTTTTTGAAACGTCCACAAAACTCTCGTAGTCTAATCAAACCATCCCTTTTTTTTAAATTCCGTCCGATTTCAATGGAGCTGCAAACTTCTCCATCTTGCGCGCAAATAATGTCATAAATGCCTTCTCAAAGAACCCATATTGTACTTTGTTTTCTGTCCCATGGGAGCTGGCTCCCCGGATGGCTCAGCAATGCCACAACGGTAAAGCCTCCAGTTCTTTGTCTTTTTACTAACAGATGTTGAGGAGAAGAAAACTGAACTACTTGGAGACTTAAAACCACCATGAATGTGCTATATATCTGTTTAGTCCAATGGTAACAAACCAGGTAAGTGGCAGTTTTGGTTCCGCACCAGAAAAAGAATAAAGAAAGGTAAAGAGCAGCTGTTTGGTTGAGTTTTGCTTTGGTTGGGCAAGGCAAAATTATGGCCATACATACATTTCTGTCAAGAGATTATTTCCCTGGTGATTTATTAATTCTGTCACTTATTGAATTACTAAAGTAACCCCCCCTTTACTTTAACTCATGCGCTCTTGGTCATGGGAATTGAACATTTTGCTGTTTTCATCAGGGTAATAGAGGAATTCCAAGCTTGAAGTTGACCATCAAATCATATGTATGTATAAAAGATTATTTGTTGAAGAACCTGAGGTTATAATATATGCCACGACTGATGTATACTGAAGGAGCTGGCTTAGTGGCTCTAAGGGCTCATTAATCACTAAGTAATATTCAATCCCAACCAGGTGATTGTGTAGAATATGATCCCTCCTGTCAATTGTGTAGAACATGCCTCATTGCCTGAAGTGTGATTAAAATTTTTCAAAGATGAATGGGTTCATTCAGCATAATGAAACTTGAAACCTAAAAAAGGAGGGCTGATGTAGAGCCTAGTCAGCATAAATGGTCAAGGTCTGGGCAGATCTTATAGCTGTCAGGTGCGGTCACGTCATTTAATGGCGTGAGTAGCATGTTCCTGCCAGTGCAGTGGTGGTGCGCGCTAAACTGTTGGGAGGTTGAAGGCGTCCATGTGTCCAATCCCTACATGAAATGAGGAAATCACGGGAGTAGGTGATAATGGGACGCAAAGAAAGATTTGTACAATACTTGACCCCTTTTTCGGATTCAATAATCATTAACTCAAGGTATCCCACATAAATAGAGAGTCTTTCCCGTTTGGGGGATTGCTCATTTTACTCTTGATTAGCTACCTTCTTCTTGTACTAGTATTCTCTCTCCTCTCTCATTTGTATTCTCAACACTCTAAAGTAGCTCGCTAAGTCGCGAATGATCCTTCAAATATAAATACAATATCAGTGGACGTAGGATTCGTTGTTAAGCACCGAACCACTTTAAACATTGTCTTTCCACCATTTACATTCTCAATCTCTTATTACGTGTATCTTTTGAGTCAACTCAGTATTTCACACATATGTTTAGTTGGTGTCAAAATCTCGCATAAACAAAACATATCTGTACGCTTCAATTTCACCTTTATATGCCCCTTAATCAAAGAATTTGTATCTTGTGGTGGACAAACAGAGATCAAACCTTGGTTCCATAAACCTCTACTCAAGCCCTGAACGAACTAGCCGCAATAATATAAACCCAACACCCAAAGGCAAAGTCTACCGTATCTGGGTCATAAGCCCAGTACAATCCTAATTTTTGCAAAACCCAACACCCAAAACCAAAGGCCACCTAATTTGGTCCACAACCCTAGTACATCCGAACTTATACAAAATTGATTCTATAACAGTTCTATTGTTCTTCGTCTTATTTAACTTGAGTTTTTTAAAATCGCAGTAAAATATAAACTTTTTGGTTACGATACCGAAAACATTACATAACTGCTAACACCAACGGTAAAAGGCACGTTACAGAAGTGGCACTCACAGGTAGTGCAAGCACAGGAATGCGCAGAAGTGCAGAACGTGAAATGAATCCACACGCAGAAAGTTGACCCTTTACCTAATTACCTCGTTTCTTGTTGAATACATTAAATTACTATTACTTTTATGGCAAGCCATCCAGACACCTCGTCTTCCTTCTTCTTCCACATTATTATATTCAGGAAGCCACCATACTATTAAATTTTTGCATGCACCTCAATCATCGGGAAGGCAACGAGAAACTACAAACCAATAAGATAGGTACATATGTATCAAAACCACCAGGATTTCTCTGTTTCATTATTATACTTGTATACGTGTGTGGTGGTAGTTAACAAACAGAACAAATTAATTTGTAGCAGAGAGAAATGGTCAATCCTGAGCCATATTGCAGTTTAGAGATCTGATTTCTTCATTGATGGGTTTCTTAAAAAAGTATGAACTATTTCAAGATTAGGGTTGACTTCTTCCGTAGTTAATAACTATGTCAGAAACCAGTGTGAACAAGAGTTGACTTTGCAGTTTTTCTAAGTTCTAGCTTGCTCAAATGTATGGGAGTTATAAATATAAGAATTCTTTATTCACTAATATAGTAATATTTGAAATATGCTTTTCATATTGTTAACATAATTTTTTTTCTTCAGCTTTCACTATAAATTATAATTGTAAAGCTCACGAATGTTGATCGGAAAGCTAATGCTTTCATCACCATCGAGTAACTTTCCTGCAATAATGATATTTGCAGCTTCTGTGGGATGATATGCATCCCAAAAACACTACTTTGATCGGTCATCACACAAAACAGAAGTGGCGTTTTGATCATTCCGTTTAAAGCAAACAAATGGAGGAAAGTATCCACCGCAACATGGTTGATCAGCATTCTCAAATCTGGCAACAGCCAAGAATATATTAGCTCAATAAAACTATGTATAGTTATTCAATCAAATATAAAGATTCAGGGTTCCAATCTCACCATATTGTTTATAATTAATTATGATACTGCTGAAAACATCATACGAGTTTGCATATACAAAGATAGCTTCAGGTCCATCTCTGATTTAACCGAGTGAGCTCTCTTAGTTTATTATGTATCCTTGGAATAATTCATTCACTTTAGTCCAGATTGCTACTTGGAAGTAGCTTGAGTGCACGAACAAATGTATAATATACATTCAAAGCAACAAGCCCAATCGGGGCAGCGGCCAAAATTGTTATAAAATTAATTCTTACTTATTTCTATGCATGTTCCTATCATTGCATGTTCACTCCATTATCAAAATATTCTTTTCTACAGAAGA